AATATAAACTGCAATATACTTATTTCAAATTATAATTTAAAAAACACCATTGGATAAAATATTATTAATCTAATGTTAATATTTAATTTAACAAACAACGTCAAAGAGAAAATGGATTTTTCATTAACGATTAACTTTTATATAAAACATGACTTAACTTTAATTGAAAAACATTAAAACTGTATCTAACATCTGTATCTACACCTAATTTTTCGATACCTAATGTTTAAATTGAGCTTTTGAAAAATCTTTCTTGAACCTTTTATTTTAGCCTTAATTGAAAGCTAAATGATTAAATTTATTATTTCCAGTAAGCAAAATATTCTTCTGTATTTCAGATAGAAATTATATTGGTTGGAAGCTCAACATTTGAACGCTTTCACAGAATCGACTATTTCTGACACATCTTGACACATTTGTAGACAAAAGTTAATTCTCGGTTTTAAAAATCTTCCAAAAATTAAATATACTTTTCTGAAACTTCATTTGGGAAATATTACCTGATTTAAATTATAATTAATCTGATTTGAAAAAATATTATTTATTTAAAGTTTAAAATAACAGAGAAATATTATTTACTTAAAGTTTAAAATAACAGAGAAATGGATTTTTAAAACAAACGGTACGGGGTTTACGCGCTTATCATCGTCACTTGTCACTCGTAGATTGCTTATCAAGTAATGATAAAATCTGTTAACACCTTAACTGTTGTCCCAATGAGACTTTATCTGTTAAAACATAATTTAAGAAAATGGCGGGTGTGCGCCTTTTTTTATATAATTCTAAGTTCTCCGTAATCTTACAAATATTAGAAAATAGTCTCTGTAATCTAATTTTAGGAATGTTGAATTGAAATTTACTATAGTCATCGCTCTTATTTTCAGAATTTGTTGCTTATGGTCCACCCTGCTTTTAAACAGGGTAAAGTCGCGTAATATCTTATATGCATAAAAAATAAATATATTTTTTTAAAATATTGGGTGTAAATGGCTTTTATTGAGCTTTTCAATTTTTGATTCAGAAATATAGTTTTCACTTAACAATATCACCTAACTGGACTGAAGTAATGCAAAATTTTAAACGATTTATAATATAAATTATTGTAATTATTTTTGTTTAAATGAAAATAATTGTGTAAAATTTCATCGAAAAAAAATTTTCTTAAGATAATAGTGTCCTTAATAAATCTTTTTTTTTATAAATGCAATTGAAAGCTTTTCTAATTAAATAATGCCTTAATTTTATTGCATTTTTTATTTTACAATTCAGAGCAGATTTTTTGTAACTGTGTGTCCTGTTTTACAAAAAAAATGATTTAAATTCTCCAACGATTCCTGCTTTTGACTACTAAAACAAATTTTGAGATTGCAATTTAATTTCTCGAAATTTCATGAAATTAAGTAAGTGATGGGTGTAATATATGTAATACAAAATATTTTTTACCAAGATTTTCTATTACAAAAAAGGCAAAAATAATATTATTCATTTGTGAATAGGTCCTGAGAGTTTCATTACAATCCGACAATTATTTGATTTTTGCAAGAATTTCAAAATCAATGTGATTTTCACCTGAAACAAAAGGCGCTAAAACACAAATCGTAAAGATTACATCGACCCTGATGCACAAAAAAAAAAGATTTTCTAACCAAAATTTCGAACATAATAGAAAGTAATAAAAAATTTAATAAAAAAAAATATTAATAATAATAACAAACATTTTGGCGATCAAAATGTGGTTTTTTTTTCATGCTATGCCGTTTTTTCAGCGAGTAAATTGAGGTGCCTAATCTAACATATTAGTTTTATATCATAAACAGTTTTAAATTAAACAATCTATGCTATTTTAAAAAATACTATTATTTCTGGCTTTCTTGCGAGTTATGTTTTATTTTCTTACCGTAGAAAAACGCAATATGATGTTTTAGTTACATATTACAATGCTTTTTCATTGAAATGCTCCAACGTTTGTGTAAACAATTTGATTGAATGTTGTGAATATAATGTTAAAATTTAATTTAATAACAAAACACAAAGAGAAAATCGCTGTTCCATCAACATTTAACTTTTATATAAGAATGAATTGATTATTAATGTTATCTAACATCAATATTACGTCAGAACAGAATTAGGTTAACCAATTTTCTTCATTAGAACGTTTCTGACCACAAAAATCTACCAATGATTTGATGCGAATAAAAGCAATGAAATTCTGAGCATAGATTTATCGAAATTAAATGAAGTATTTCGTTTTATTATTCATATTTTTGTTTTAGTTTGAATATTTTTTTTAATTTTTAATTTTCTTAGAGTCACACCTCTCCACTTTATTTCAGGATACATAATTTTTATATTTAAAAAAAATAATAAAATAAAAATAAAAATTGTAAGAATTCATGAATTTTTACATCATCGAATTTTATGAGGTTCCTCTGTGAGTATGTGACATTTTGGTAACTGTAAGATTGACTGAGGAAGAATGTGTAAAAGGCAATGAGTATGAATAAATCGTAACGATGAATGGGTTGCGAGTCAGATTAGCTAGGTTTACGATAGTCAATAACAATCAGCCTCAACCCACTCTCCCTTCGACCATGTGCCAAAATTGCAGCTATAAATACACACAGATATATGTAGTCATCCACCGACAGCATATGCGCTGTCTCCGACGGATCCTGAGCATCACATGGCATGACCACGTGTCCAACAAATCCACCCTGGCACAGGCGGGCACGCCAAGCATGTTTGTCTTGCACAGTCAGAGGCGCCTGCGCTGGCTCGGCCATGTCATCAGCATGGAAGATCGTCGCATCCCAAAGGATATGCTCTACGGTGAAGTGGCGACTGGCTTCAGACGTGAAGGAAGGCCACTCCTTCGCTAAAAGGATGAGTGCAAGTGCGAGGTCTTGTCGTTCGAGCTGTTTGGAAAGCCTTTGTTGGAGATGGACGGGGCTGCCGGGAAGAGCACGCAGCTAGACGAGAGACTGAGAGAGGATCGATGGGAGGCGAAGAAGCCCCGTAGACACCATCAACAGATGACTAGACGCACGGCGTAACTCTCATTGACCCTGGAACAGAAAGGGGCTAAAGAATGAAAAATGATGGCAAGGCTTTGTTGTGCAGATGAGATGTTTTGGGAAAAGAAATAATATACGAACGACTGGGGTCAGTGATTGAGCTAAGTTATCGATAGGACCAGCCTCACCCACCGCATTTTGCCGTTGTCGCGTATTTGCACATTTGGTAATTAATATCTGGGTTGACGATTGCGTATAAGCATGAAACAGGCTGTCGCTGCTGGGTGTTTTCAATAGCCACTTTGTGGGTTTGTAAACAGAGACTTTTACGGCTAATAATGCAAGACTCTTCGTTAAATCGAATCGAGTTCTCTCCGTCGCTGTATGTTTATCTAAAAATAAATACGCTTAAATTTACCTTCGTCCCTGTCGTGCGGATTAGTGGTAGAGTCGCCGACTGGCGCCAATTCAGTCAAGTTTCGATCCTAGCTAGAGGCAACCGGACGTCTAGACTCACTGATGAGCTGCAAAACAGTCGGTTTGTGGATGATTATATGTATTTTTTTAGGATATTTAATCAAAAACATGTAAAAAAAATCGCTACAGAATTGCAGTCGTATTTCGACGCATATCAAAGCGTCTCCTAAGGCGATTGTAAATTACTGGCGAGTGGACGATTAATTAAATTAATCGCTCAGTCGCTAATGTTGAAAGACCTGAAACTTCCTGATGAACCAAGTCAATTTTCATCACTGTCGATTCCCTCCGGCGCCCTATTTTATATTTTAAAAAAAATTATTAAACAATATATTTATTTATTTTTGTCTACCGGCCTGAATATTAAAGAAATCTTAGAGAAAAATATATGCTCTCTTGCCGGACACGAACCTACGTTCTCCTCGGGAAAACCATTCTTAGATCTAAGGTGCTGTGACCTTTGGTTTACACAGTGCGTAGAAGACGAAACAATGTTGAATAGTGCCTTTAAACAGATTCTTCTCAGGCTCTTGAAATAGACATAGCTTCTCAACTTTGAACCCTAACGTAAACAAAGCAATTTGTAAAGAAACGATTTTTTTTATTTATTAACCCGACAGATTTTTATTACTTTAACGTTATTTTTAGTCGATTCTCGTATTTAAGTAGACGCTCCGTTTATTTATTAAACAGAATGTTTATTTATTTTCGTCTACCAGCCTGAAGATTCGAGAAATCTCATTAGAGAAAAATATGCGCTCTCCGTCAGGATTCGAACCTGCTACACTTAATGTATAACCGACATTTCATAAATAAACGGGGCGTCTAATCAAATACTAGTATCCATTAAAAATAACGTTTAAGTCCTAAAATCTTTTGAAATAATAAATAAAAAATCCATTCTTTCTTTCCAAATTATTTTATCGGTAATATACACAAAAAAGACTAAAATACAATATGTGATTACACACCATGTAAAAATACAATTAATATTCGCCAGGTATCAAATCAGTTGTCTCCAATTATTCTTCATTTGTGAAACGATGCGCAATAAAAGGTTAAACTGTCTGTTTTACAATAGCAGACGTTTATGGCAGCCATATTGTGTTTTTAACATTTTTTTTATTTTTGATCTATTTGATCATTTATATATTTCTTGCTGAATACGTCACATATGCAATCTGTCTTTTTTTCGCTTAATGACAAAGGACTTAATTTGATCAATAGGATTTGATTTGATTGCTGTTTTCTACGGCTTATCAACCCACTGTAGGTTGTTTAAAGCCAGAAAATATTTTTAGACTATAAGAATTTTTTTTTGGAGATAAAAATGTAGGGATACATTTCTTACTAATTAATCCATAGATGGGGGTGGGAAGAGGTGGACCCATGCCTTTCCCAAGCGTATTTGCTCGTAAGTGAATATAACGAACATAACGGGAATTGGAACTCGGCTCACCGATTAACAATTCCGAGCCATTATCCATTACACCACCTGCACATCCACGCTTCCAGCACGTGGTATTCCCAAGCTTTCACCCATTTAGTTACTGACCAGGTTCGACATTGCTTAACTTCGGTGATCGGATGGGAAAGTCATGTGGTCATAAAATTTGGCAAATAAAAATATATAAAATAATTAAACGGCTGGATATTCTTTTTATGTTCCGGGTACTTGCAGGACATAGTCGATCATAGGTCTCCACATCTTCCTGCCTGATGTTGCTCTTTACCATCACTTCTTATTTCTGTTCTGACATCCGTTCACTCAAACTCACAAGAGCATTTATGCGAAATCGAACCCAGCATGTTAGATTGGAATTTGAACCCGGATGTCCAACTCCATTTTACGCGCCAATTACCACTAAGTTCATTACACATACACAAAAGTTATACGTTATTTTTTATAGATATAAATATTTAAATAAATGCTTTGTTTATAATATACAATATTTACCGGCCTCAACGCCCGAGAAATTTTCATAGAAAATATGTGTCCTCCAACAGGACTCGAACCTGTATCCTACACGGAACCGTCATATACCCTGACGTGCCATACCAGTTTAGCTACAGAGGGGCGTCTTGTTAGCAAGGTCGATTCTACTGCTTTTAAACTATAATCTTCTATGATTTCCCCCGAACGTTCATATCTGCTCGAAGAGTATCTAAACGTAAACAAATGACGTCATACACTATGAAATGGACAAAGTCCGACAATTATTTTAATATATTTTATTGTTATACTATATTTATATAGATACATATATTTAAGTAAATGCTCTGTTTATAATAAAAAGTTTTAACAACATTTCGGGTAAAAAAAAACATCAAAAATTAAGAAGACAGTACATACCGATTGATATTGCGTTTTAAATTTTTGAAGATCAAAGTTGACTGGGAAGAAAGTACCCATAAGCGAATACCACAAGCGAGAAGTGTGACAGAAGAAACTGTTAGCATCCAATCTACGGTTACATCTAGCCATTTCAATTGTAAAATGATGAGAGCGTTGAGGCCGCCAATCTAGTATGGCGTTTAAATTCATAAAGTATTGATACCATAGCAGAAAGTTCATCAGAACAATTACTACGAAAACATTTATAGAAAGGCAAAAGGGAGCTATATTACGTCCGTGGAAAAGTACCAGAAGACTAGATTGCAGTTTCTTCTTTGTGTTTTATCAAGAATGTTTAAATATATAGTAGGAGTACCAGACCAGACGTGGCAGCAATATTCAAAGTATGGACGAATTGCAGACTTATAAATATGTAAGATTGTCTGGCAAGACACAAGGAACCAACTTTCCTATCAACGGACCTAGCAATTGATTCAATATAATCTTTCCAGTTCATGTCAGCGGAAAACTTTAGTCTGAAAAGACACAATTAGTCATTTTCCTGGGAGTTAGCATCAATCATGCTGATGGAAGGTAAAATGTGTTCTCTCAGAGAGCAATTTCGTTTTTGACGCATTGAAATTAACAAGCCATTGCTTGCCCCAGTTAACAACAGAAAGTAGATATTTTTTTATCTGCTTCCACTATGACCTTATCGGACCACTCAGATGTACTATTAAAACAAGAGTAAATAGTTTTCTCATCAGTACAAATAGAAAGTTGATAACTGATGCTATCAAAATGGTCGTTGATGAAAATTAGGAACAGCGTAGTTTCAAGAATAGATCCTGCGTTAATGCAAAAAGATCAAGAAGAGTGGCCGTTCTAGATAACCTTCAAAAATCAAGACTAACTTTTTTATTTTTGTTCTGAACGTCTACTGAGACTCAGGTTCACTCCAGAACTCAAGTGAAATTCATATGTACGATTCCTCACTAAATATGCAGGAAAATGGTCGGCTCATTCCGTCACTCTAGGAGTATTTGATATCACTTACCAGCCTCCCTATCTGGACAGAAGCTACTCAGTCCACACTTTCCAGGCTCTATTCGGTCTTATGGACGATGAATTATTTTCTACTCGGCAACCTCTTTCCCGCAGACTAAACGTCGCAAGCATGCCGATACTCTATCCCTATTTTACATGGGAAATCTTCTGACGAGCACTTTTCCTGTGTTCTACCAGTTCAGACCTTCACAGTTAAGACCCGTCATACCACATACAATAAGACGAATCATGCTCGTTCCCTTTTTATTCCGTTAGTAAGAAGATGATTATTTGTGGAACAGACCCCCGGAAGCTTGCTTTCCCTGATCATTATAATTTTAACCTCTTCAAGTCTTATATCAATTCTTATCTATCCTACATATCATTATAATCTGCACTTTTTGCCTTGTAATCTTTTTCAGTAACCCTTTACCTATTAGCATTTTTTACGTGAACTGTAGTATAAAAAAAAACACTAGTGGAATGGTCACATTGTGAAATATTTTCAAGGATCTTATAGTAAGTTAATTTAATTCATGAATATTTTTATACTATTTACATTATTCGGACCAGTGTCCTCATTTTGTCGCCATATTTATCACAGCGTTTCTGCCGTTGTACGCTCCGGCCTGCTTCAGGTGGTTGGAATGTCGAGCTGAACTCTTTTCGCTCACTGGGGTAGATTGTTCTAGTTCCACAGTGGACAAAGGCGTTAGGTAGATCCAGTGAAAGGACCCAAAGAGTGTGAGTTCAATACCTGGTTAAGGCAGTGGAGAACTTTCAGAGGGGAATTAACAGGAGATAACTTACATCTGTTAGACATGGTGTAAATAGTGTACATAATACCTCTTTTCAAAAATATAGACAGATACTAAATATTTTTATATTAAAAAATAACAGATTTTCATTATTTTTCAGGATTTGGAAATGACTTTTCATTCCCTTCTGTTGATTTTATTCTGTTTCTCTGGGATCCATGCCTTCCATTCGACGGAAGAACGTAAGTAAAGGACAAAAATACAAAAGCGAAACGTTTATCTATATTTATATATCTTGAATTTATTATTAGGTGATATATTTTCAATTATTATCATATATTGCAACTTCAGTAGATAATAAAAGTAGAGAAAGCTGAGAAAATTATACTTTTTCAGTGTTTTGTTATTTAATACAATTGGAGTATTTACATTTGGAAATTTCTCTCCAATAAATTAAGACAAGGACGGATGGCCATTCTGCATGAGACAAGTGCTGGTGGTCATTCTTTTCTTTAATCATCTCACCCCAAGCAAGGCGGGAATGCCACTAGTAATCAGGGTGTTACAGGGAGTGAAAGTGAGAGAAAAGACTGAGTATAGGGATGATTGAGGAAAGGACAGAATTTGAACGGGATTCAAGAAGACAGAAGATGGCGATTGATGTTGCATTTACATTTTTGAAGTAGTTATCAGGGAAGCAAGTAAATGGAAAGGAGTTCCACAGGTTGGAAGTGCGAGAAAAGAAAATCTTTTAGTAGAAGTGGTGGATGTATTTAGCCATTTCAGCCGTAAACGGGTGGGCCCTGGATGCCAATCTAGTAGCACGCTTAAAATCATGTAGTCGTGACACCAGAGGAAAAAGCTCGTCTGAGAAATTGCCATGAAAATATTTGTAGAAAAGGAGGAGGGAAGTCACATTACGTCGGCGAGAATGTGACTGAATTCATGATGCCTGGACAGGATTCCATTACAGGTCTTTCTTTGGATTTTGTCAAGAATCTCAATATGTACAGCAGGTGTACCAGACAAGGTATGACAACAGTAATCGATGCACAGAACCACACTTCATCTGACTTTCTTCACCTTAATAATAGAAGGCGGATTTTGAAAAGAAACAGAGACGTCATGCCAGCCGAGATACAATTTGTGAATTCATGAAATAAGAAAATAATGAGGATGTTAAGTTTAGACAAAATGTAGAAAATTCCGTCGTTTGCTGGTTGTACAGATTGTCGTCTAGCAATAGATTCAGAACGGAATCTTGCTGTAGCATGTGATCCGCACCAGGAAATATGCGAGGTTTAAATTGAATTTAATATCATCAAGAGGAGTTGATCTATGGTGACCCAAATATGTACTAGACTAAGAGGAGTTGATTTGTGGTGACCCCAATATATACTAGACTCTAACTAAGAGGAGTTGATCTGTGGTGACCCCAATATATACTAAACTCAAACTAAGAAGATTTGATCTGTGGTGACCCCAATATGTACTAAACTCTAACTAATAGGAGATGATCTGTGATGACCCCAATGTATGTACTAGACTCAGATAAGAAAGTAGGCTTTGCATTCGATGTCATGCCAAAGCATGAGAGGAACCAGGTTTGATCGATAAGGTGACTTCATATCTACTAAATGCAGTATCAGTTCTCAAATGATGCCAGTGGATGCACAAGGCTTATAGACATATGATCCATTCAACTGCACATAGAATGTGCATACGTGGGACAACAGCGTAACAGAAACGTATGTAATATATAATACATATGGAATTTTTAATATAATTCACTAAACTACATATAAATGAAGTGGCATGGTCATCCTGCCCGAAAGTCACGACTGATATAACTGTAATCCTTCCCCCTGAATTGTGGTAAAACAATTTAAGCGTAGGTTAGAAGAGAAAGGTAAACAAGTGATCTGATATACAAACCGTGAATGAAACCAAACGATTCTTTGGTGTATGGAACAGAAAACAACTTTATGAAACAGAAGAAGGAAATTACTGGAAAGTAATTGAAACTCACCTGAAGCGAGCTGAATGCTCCTCATGCCAATGACACTTCCACCGAGCTTCTCTACGGCATATGACTTCACTGAATTTTGATGTGTTCCTCTCGAATTTATATTTAAACTGGGTTCATCAGGAGAGAATGTGCACCGTTTCGGGGCCTTCCTCTCAACGGTTTCAGTTGCACACCGCCCCCCCTCACTGATGTGAGGCCCCATTATAACGATATACAAGTGTTGTAGATAAACTAGTTCAAATGTGTAACGGCGATATTAAATTTACGAAAATTCCGAAAAACGGCAAACCTCGCGTTCTGAGAATGCAACGGGGACCTCATTACGCATTCACGATCAGACATGTCATGCCGTCATGTTCGCTGAAACACTCCACGGAGTATTTCGTTTTTTCCATATCCACATAGAACTATTCTCAGTTACTTCT